AGCAGGTCTGATGATGTTGGACAGGATCAGGTTGGAAAATTGTTAAATTTTAATGGACTGGGTTTAAAAGCCTGGGCCCATTACAATCTAAATTCTTCAAATCAGGTACCTGATTTGCACCAACTATCACCCCCTTTGATGAAAACCAATTATATAAATTAGGAAACCAGCACTAATATACCTTATATAAGTTGTTTGTCTCATATTATTATTTGGGGTTAGCTGAATGTGATGGTTGTTCAGCTAGTTGTGAAACCAATGATAATATTTCAGATGGGTAATAAATTCAAGGACCCCATCATAAAAGATGTGGGTCTTATGTATTTAATTTAGGGAGAAAACAGTTCAGTCCAGAGTCAGAATTTGTAGACTCAAAGTATATTTGGGGTAGGTGCCAGATCGGAATTGATGCCAATTCATGGATAGTATAGATGCATAGAATGTGGGTTTTGACCTTTTGAATGTTTATAATTCTGCAGTGAAAATCAAATTTCTGTATTGAGCCTGTCCGTACATTTCCGTTTAAATTATTACTGTTGTAGAACATTTTCATTGGTCCACAGCCTGCTGAACAGCTATCATGTCCAACTATATTATAATGGGGTGACGAGGATTAAATACTAAACTACTTGGTCAAACAAGTTCAGATACCATCTTAAGAAATCACTCAACCTAAGAAACCACTTGGCCAAACAAGTGTAGATACCATCTCAAGAAACCATTTAGCTTAGGCTGTAATTGGCATTCCTTATTTTAAGAAATTATCTCTTTTTGCAATTAAAAACTCAATATTTATAAAGACATTTTAACAGCAAAAAAAGAAATAAATCCTTAAAATAAAAAATGTCAAATGCAATCTTAAAAACTAGGGGCTAAATAATATCCCTAAAAATACATTCTCTCTATCTCCCCATTGTCAAGCCAAACCCAGTTCATTTTACATTCGTATTTAAGTTAACCAGCCAGTAGTATTAATTAAGCCGGATTGCCGACCAACTTGACTGGGCCAACAACCCCGACATAACACGTTATCCGGGTGAAGTTAAATAGAGTGAGGAGAGGGTCGTTGTTTAGTTTACAAACAAATTCATTACTACTTCTCCAGTTCTCCTTATATCAATTATCATGCAATAAATTAAAAGCGAGGCGGTGCAATGGACAATGTTACAATACCAATATATATATAACAAAAGGCTCTTTGAGGCGACATCTGCATTTTATTATTAATTACATGCAAAATGCTTTAGAGGCTTAGCTTAGCTGCTGATTTTAGATGCAAAGGTTGTGTTTGTCTGGTGGAGGTAAGATATCGGAATTTCTGTTTCAGAATCGGTAGTCCGGTTTGTTAAGTTTTCACTTGAATTGTGTTTGGTTTGAAAGAAAAGGTAAGAAAAAGAAGAAAATATTAGGAGAACCATTTTTTTCCCTATCTCTTCTTTCAAACCAAACACAACCTTAGGGTTTTTGCTTTTAATTTGTGTGGTGCGTACTACCACATGGACATCTTCTTGGAAGGTGCTTGGTGCGGACTGCCTTTTATGCCCACTTTGTATTTCATGGTAATCAGCAACTCAATGTGTTCACAATCTTTTTGCTAGAAACAGATAAGGCTGATGTGGCTTTTAAAGTTCTTTTGTTAAAAATTTTGCGAAGATTAGATTAAGAGTGTAGGACCGGGGTCGGGCTCAGATTCAGGATTAGATTAAGACCTCGTTCGCTTAAGTGCATTTACCCATATTCTTTTATTTTTCATGCAAACAAGACAATGACCATTTTAGCCATAAAAACTTATTATTATAAGGGGCATTTTTGTCACATTCAAGTGTTGACAACTTTCTCCCAATGTGGAAAAGTTATTTACCCACCTAAGATATGGGTATCGCTTATCCAGATAAGTGATATCTAGGAAAATAAACTTTTCCTGATCCCCACATAACTCTGAAAAAAGAACATAAGATTCATGGTCAATAGGAATCAAAATTCCATTGACCAACTTTTCTCCTGTCCAAATTCAGAAAAAGAACGCCCCCTAAAAGTATAGGATTTGGTCGGGCTTAGATTCAAGATTAGATTAAAAGTATAGGACCGGACCGGGCTCTGATTCAGGTCTAAACATTTTCTGTTAATAAGTGATAAAAAGCCCGATCTGATGTGGCCCATGAACAGGTCTACTATACATCTATGACTCGTTCAGCTAATCCAAATTTTGGGGTGAAATTCAAAAGGTGGTCTTCTATTTCATTTTTTAATTTGCCACAAGAAAGGGAGCTTTGCTTGCAATGACACATTCTTCATTATGAATATGTCAAATAAATAAATCACTCAATTCAACAATCAGAGGCTCAGAGCAGAGACATACAAAAAGTTAGAGTTACAAACAAACAAACCAAAAGAAAACAGTAACACACACCTAAGACAACAAGCAACGTCTCACACCGATCCCACAGTGTGTCCTGGCCGCACATCGGGAACAGATCCCAATACAGGGTGGGATATGATTGTGAGATCGGTGTGAGATGCACTCTGTGAGGGATAAATCCCAATTCAGCCCAATTGGCATGTTCGCTGGCTCATTTTCGAATCCCGTGACTAGTAGGTTGGAGGGCTAATGGGCATGGGGATGGGCTGTTCACCGTTATGCAGTTATTGTATTCAAAACCTACTTATTTTCCTCTTTAAAAACAAAATTAGAGTTCAAGAACATGTATTATAGTGATGTTTCCAAAAGCATGTCAGGGGTTCAATTCCCGGACAATGAACCAATCAGCGGTTCAGTTCCCGAGTTGAAATAGCCCATTCTGATAAAAAAATTGAAAATTTAAAAAATAATAAAAATAAAAAATGGCAAAAACTATTGGACGGTTATAACGGTTTGACCACCTGAGTTAGCAGTTTACTAACCCAATCAATGGTTTTTGGCAAAATAATGGTTTTGGGGTAAAACAGAACAGGTCACCTAACCAGTTCCTGGTTTTCCGGTTTGACCGTCCTGTCCAGTCTAGTTTTGAAAACCATGTGTTAAACTACTACACACATCTGATTGCAGAATTCTTGAGAGACAACCCGGGGCTTGATCTTTAAATAAATAGACCTGAACCATGGATGCCACGAAAAAATGAATGAAATTTGTGACTCTTTAAGGGGATGTTTGGAAGTGTGGGCGTTTTTCTGAAAAACGGTGCCACATTGGATCCACGTAGGCAATTCAACAAGCAACCGCCTACATGACTGTTTGGTTCAAGCGTTTTTTGAAAAAAAAAAAAAAAACGTTGAAAAACAGGCATGCATCGTAAATCGTATCCCAACCGTTGCATGAAATGTTTCATGAAAAATAAACATGCATCGCAAATGAATGAAAATTTGACGTTTCATGCATTGGTGAACTGTTGCCACCCGACAGTTGAATGATGTGGCGCTTACATGTATGTGCACATACATGAAAAACGGTGATGAAAATCACCTTACCAAATAACGTTAGTGTTGCTCAGTGCCTACGTGGCAGAAACACTACCAAACATATGAAGGTGTTTTTTTTTTTTTTTTTGAAAAAACGGATCTAGCAAGTATGGGCGTTTTTTTCTTTTTTTGAAAATCGGTCCCAAAAAACACCCACGCTTCCAAACACCATCTAAATTCCCTTAAATGAAATTTGAGGTACCATTGTTGAATTGGTTGTTGTTTTTTTTTTTTTTCCTTTTGCAAGCAGCATCATATCAAACGAGATTTAATTTAAGGCCCCATTTGGTTTGTGGGAATAGGGATCTCTAATCAGAATTAGAATGGACTATTCTGATTCCAACTATTTGGTTGGGTAAAATTGGAATCCCATTCCCATTCCCATTCCCGTTTAAGAGAACGATCATTCTTTGCCCCTCCCTTGAAAATAAAATCTCATTCCTACTGATTTTGATTCACATTCCTATTCTTATCTGAACCAAATGAGACTATAAAAATAAACCATTCTGATTCCGATTCCAACTGTAAACCAAACAGACCCTTAGCATAAATGCTGAAGCCTGGCAAGTTTATAGTTTATACACAATGCATCCATACCAGATTGCCAGACATCTCTTGATTGTTGTGATTTGTGTGAATTATTAAACAAAATCTTTAAATGTTTAAGCATGAATTCTGCTTACTAAAAGGAAAAAAACATATATGCTGATGTGGCAAGTTTATACAAGGCAGTTATGTCAAACACCCTTTTTATTGTTGTGATTTTTGAACCCATAACATCCACTTATCCTCCTGATGTGGCAAGATTCCACAAGGCAGATATGAAGGCATTTATAGGAATCAATTCCTCTAAAACCAAACACCATCCAAATTGGTTCACTTTTCCACTCACCATAAATTACAATGCGCTCTTCTTGACTTTTTTTCTTTATCAAGTCAAAATGGAGCTACACAGAACGAGGGTAGCACGTCCTCAGAAATCAAAACAAGCAAATTACATTGGAACAGAAATGAAACTGAGAGAATAAAGCTGTGAGAAACATCGTTTGTGTGTGCATAGTTAGGTAGCCGATAATCCTCCGAGTCCTTGAACCGTTCAAAGAATGTAATATTGCGAGTCAGTTCCATGCACTCAGTCAAAACTGTACAGTCCGATAACCCTCTGATTCCTACAAGTCGTCTAAAAGCTAAAACCATCTGATAGGCACAAAGCGGTAGATCACGTATGGACGCCAAAATAGGCAAACTACTAAGCGCGTTGTGCTTCTTCCACTTTCTCAAAAGCCACCCCAACCAAAAGCTGGCTACTGGCCAGTGGCTACCCGTCAGTCAACTATCAGATTCAGAGTCAAGTCTCCCAACGTCAGAGGACAATTTAGTCTTTTTATTCCACGAAACACGCCACCTCGAATGAAAGCTACACTACTTAATCAAAACAAAGTCAGCAACACGGTTGCTAAAAGGGACAGGGTCCCGCTTCACCCGTAGCTTCCAGCTTTACTTATCAATTCTCATTTTCCTTTTCTAGTTATTTATATAAATATGCTCATCTACTCATCCTCTGTGCACGCTGAAAAAGAACCAAAACAACCAACCGAAATCTCTCCCTCTTTTCATCTTCTCTTCTCAATCGGCGAAGCTCTACCGGCGATTAGTTATTCTGGATATGTTAAATGTGTGGAGACAGAGAGAATGAGATAGGAAAAAGAAGACAAACCATTTTTACAAGATTGGTGCCATTAAATCCGATTCTTTTTCGTTAACCTTTTCAGGGATTCTTTGTTAGAGCTTTCCTCTTTTCTGAGAACTGAGTGGAGTAGAGGAATGGAGAATATGGGGCGCAGCAAGTTGGGATTTCACAACGTGTTGCTGCTCGTCGCGGCTGTTCTAGCCGCGGTGGCGATTCAAGGTGTGGCTGGAGATGGGCGGAAGGCGCACAGAAACGCTTACGCGACGATGATGTATATGGGAACGCCGAGGGATTACGAGTTCTACGTTGCCACGCGTGTGATGCTCAGATCCCTGGCCAAGCTCAAAGTCGACGCCGATCTCGTCGTTATTGCTTCCGTCGACGTTCCGGCACGATGGGTTCGAGCTATGTAAGTCAGAAAACATCTCTATTTCTTTCTTTAGTTTTCTCTCTACATTTTGCAATAGTATGCCGGAGACCGCTTGCCGTTGCCGTCGTCTGGCACTGAACTCTATTTCTTGTCTCGCCGCTAAAGTTTCAAACCCAAACCAGTGGCAGCCTTTGGATTCAATGATCGTTGATTTCACTGCGTTTAGACTTTGGATTAATGGACAACGAGTTTCTCCAGAAGTCAGCGTCTGTTATTCGAACGATCGATACTCTTTTTCCTACTGGTTGGAGATTTCCGTCGGTTAATCGACGGTGCATCTTAATTTTGCTCAGGTGACGAATACGCCCCTAATATTCTTTCCTGTAAAAGAAAAAGATATTTTACCTAAAATAAAAAACAACGTTCGGTCCTTTTCTTTTGCTCAACAAAGAATTATTGAAATACGGCGTCTTATTTTTCTTTTGGAAAATGACAAAAATTATTTTTTCTCTTTTGCACCGCTTACTCACTTGGATATACTTAGATATATTCATTACTTACAAACATCTCCACCGGTTTTCGGTCAAATACTAAGACCTGCGAGAAACAATTATTTTAGTTTTGTCTTTAAATTATATAATGTTGCAATTGGTAAAATTAATTTCATTTATAAATTATTTCTTTATTTCTATGTTTGGTAAGGAAAAATACTTGCACCTACCATGTTGGCTACCAAAGTCATTTTATACAATAAATTTATGGTTTAGGGGTTTAAGAATTTAGGCAGGGTTTAAAGGTTTAGAATTTGGATTTTATGTTTTATGCTTTGGTTTAGGTTTTTATTGTTTAAGGGTTTAGAGTTTAACTTTAAATTATAGGGTTTTAGGATTTGGAGTTTAGATTTTAGGGTTTAGGTTTGAAGGTTTAAATATTATAAAAAAAAAAACTGAAAATAGGTGGTAGGATGCATGTCATCCAATGGGGTAGCTTGGTTTAAAACATTGTATGTTCTTGTTATTGGGGTTGCATATAACCACATTCAGCAGGAAAATCTTTTCTTCATAGAATTTTATTTTATGCTATAGTTGGCTTAGGCCTCAAAACACCTTGAGGCTTAGGCTTTACCCCTACCACACCACACCCAACCGCCTTGCCTCTACTTTTAAACTTTTGAAATCGTGATGTGCTTGGTTGCAATGCAAATAAATTTTCACTGACGTAAAACTATAACAATGCAAATGATTTGAGTGTAAATTCTGACTTATTTTTGTTTTAAAATTTAGCTTATTTTGTTTGATTGTAATACAAATGGAATAAATTAAAATATGAAGCAAAATAATAAAGTAAGACTCAAAACCTTATTTTCTCTTTTCCATTTCCACCTTAGGCCCTGGTAAGTATGTTTATCTAACATAAATGTTTCCCATGTAAAACTTACCCTGTAAGTGATGTTCAAGCGTTCTTGTGTAATACAATATACTCAGTAAATAGAGGAGGGAGGGAGAAAATGTTATCGGCATACACGGGTAAATTACTTATTCACCTTATACAAGGATATCAATTAAATGATATTATCTGATGTCTTTGTTTACCATATGACCCAATATAGCGAAAAATGAATGCAAGAATTATGGCCAAAATTTATCAGTTGATCAACCCCTGACAAATGAATGGCCCCTAATCTAAAATTACCCCAAACTACAGGGGATAATTTGATTGAAAACATTAACTATATATATATATATATATATAGGGTGATCATGGGCCGGGCTGAGCTGGGCCCGGGCCCCAAATGTTGTCCTTTCGTGGTTGTTAATGGCTCTCCATGAGGACACTGTGTTCAGCATTGGTGTATCTCGATAACCAAAAGAAAAGGAGCGAGTAGTAGGGGTGGTTGCTTTTCTTAACTTGAGTTTGGCTCTGTGATGCAGGGAAGAGGAGGATGGAGTGAAGGTTTTGAAGGTGAAGAACCTGAATAACCCATATGAAAAACAGGCCAATTTCAATAAAAGGTTCAAGCTGACTCTGAACAAGCTCTATGCATGGAGCCTGGTGGAGTATGATCGGGTGGTCATGCTCGACTCTGACAACCTCTTCCTCCGGAAGACAGACGAGCTGTTTCAGTGTGGACAATTCTGTGCTGTCTTCATCAACCCCTGCATTTTCCACACTGGTCTCTTTGCCTTGCAGGTAGTAATAGTATATTACAGTAATACTATTATTCTCTTCTCCTCTCTTTGTAGCTTGAAAGCACTGATCATTAATTAAAATCTCTAACCATGGATCATGAATTACCATTAATGCAGCCATCAATGGATGTCTTCAAAAGCATGCTTCATGAGTTGGAAATTGAACGGGACAACCCAGATGGCGCCGACCAGGGGTTTCTCGTTAGCTACTTCCCTGACTTACTTGACCGTCCAATGTTCCACCCACCAGCTAATGGCACCAAGCTGGAGGGTACCTACAGACTTCCTCTAGGCTACCAGATGGATGCTTCCTATTTCTGTAAGTAACTTTGGCTGATTTTGGTTAATTAATCTTCTGGCTTCTATTCCAAGGCAGAGAGGAAATAACCAGTATATTCCTTGTTGGTTGGTAGATCTGAAGCTTCGATGGAACATACCCTGTGGACCGAACAGCGTGGTGACCTTCCCAAGCGCACCGTGGTTGAAGCCATGGTACTGGTGGTCATGGCCTGTCTTGCCGCTGGGCCTCTCTTGGCATGAAAAACGTCGAGAAACTCTAGGGTATGTTGGATAACATATTAGCAACCCAGTTTCAGAACTTTCTGAAATCTATATGGATATGTATTGTTAATTGAAGCCTAGTCATTGTCTGCTGCTCCACTCTTAACATTTTCGTCCTTATTTTGTCTATGCTGGGATTCATTTCTTCAAACAGGTATAGTGCAGAGATGCCGGTAGTCTTGATGCAGTCGGCAATGTACCTAGCACTGATGGTGCTGACCCGATTGGCGCGGCCCAGCCTAACCAAGCTTTGCTACAGGCGGCCAGACAAGAGCCTCTCCTTTCTACAAACAGGGCGCAAGATGACAGCCATTTGGTCCATCCTAGCTGCCTACGTAGTCCCTTTCTTCATCATACCTCGGACATTACACCCAGTCATAGGCTGGATGCTCTACTTGCTTGGATCATCAGCACTTGCCTCCATCTCGATCAATGTTTTCCTGCTGCCTGCGCTTGCTGTCCTGACGCCATGGCTAGGGATCATTGGCTCCCTCATGGTCATGGCATTCCCTTGGTACTCAAACGGAATTGTGCGAGCTCTAGCAATCTTCGGCTATGCTTTCTGCTTTGCACCAATTGCATGGGGAGCTCTGGTGAAAGTGATGGTGTGCTTGCAGGTCTCGCTTGAGAGAGAGGCCTTCTTGCCTATATTGGGAGAATCTCCACAGCCTTCTTGGTTCAACAAGTTGTACTGAAGCTCGATGGCAACATGACGAGTTATGGCAGTCAGTCTCAATTCTTACGAGCCAAGTTTGGATTAATTTGGCCATGGATCTCGTTCTACAAAACCATCAAACAAATACAGAGGATCAAACAATTAAGTAGGGATGATACAGAGACAGAAGATACCATGTTAAAAACCAAAGCTGATGAGATTGAATCCATGTATTGAGAGTCATTCTGTTCAGACATTCTTTTTGGGAAGTATAACAACAATTCCATGTGATGATTCTGTAAAAATAGACACCTCAAAATATTTATTCTTAGACATGTACATCCAGATAAGTCTCATACTTTCCTGGAAAATCCTATCTTGTAGATCAATGTGAATGGTCCATTTACAAAATGAAATGGGTAACCATGGACATTGGATTGCACCAAAGCACGGACAGTGTACTGCACAAAGGACACACAACTAAACATCAAAAATCATTTGCTATGTCCCATCCAACATAAACCACCCACGGGTAAAACAAGTGTCATTTGATTCAAGCTCTCATAATTTAACAAGGGATATATATGGCACTAAACAGAAGGAAATGGCCAAACAGGATTCATATATCCGTCCTTGACCGTTCCATGGGACTACACAAACGGGGATAGCCCATACCCCCCCCCCAACCCTAGGCAGGATTCAATCATAAATCTCTCTTGCAATTAAGAGACCTTCTATAAGAAACCTTCCACATTGTATTCTGTGAATTCAATTAATTCACAAGAAATATGGTGGGAATTCTAATTTTAAACTGGGTTATATTATACTAGCCTGCCTGTGAGTGAGAATCATAGAATATTGAGAAAGAGAAACCTCATCCTCTCATTTACAGATGGCAATTTCCCCATTATTGAATGCAGGCCTACCTCACCCCACCTCAAATGGAACAGGTTTTTCCAATCTTAAACGGGGACCGGGTGGGACAGGCAAAACTTTTTTCCCTCAACCCAAGAATGAGGTGGGACAGGTTGGCATATAATTCCCCGAGGTGATAAATTATTAAAATACCTCTAGGTTTATTATTAATTTTTAAAATGTCTCAAAGTTTCCTCAAATTCTCAAAACCCTAAGAAAGATACCCCCAATCTCCAATAGTCTATTTTCTAAATACCCCTATTATCATTGATCCCATTTCTAAAATACCCCTTAAGTTTGATGTACTTTTAGGTGGTTGTCTCATGGCAGGGAAAATTCAGGAGTTCCCATCCCTGATAGGAAATTGGTGCCCCACCATAACTCGCCATGTTGTCATTCCTACTCTCATTTCGTGGGAGCTAAGGTAATAAAGTGGACTCGGGGTAATAAAGTGCATGCATACCAATACAAAGGGAGTTTTTTGGTCACAATTCTTTCCCATAGCACATGATTTTCACATACTAGCATTTGCCCTAAGACAAATGCTTAAGTGTGCAAAAATTTTTTTCCATGTGATATGCAAATAATTATATAGTTATAGATAGCCACATAGACACCCCCCCCCTTGAGTCAACATGCTTCCTACTTGGGTTGGATACAAATTGAGCTTTTCTTGAACTTCAAGCCAAGCTTGAGCCCAAATTAGACTCATAGTCAAGCTCAAGCCAAGCTAAAATCGAACATACGAGCTTTTGAGTCAAGCTGAAACTAAGCTCAAGTCTCTAGCTCGAGCCTCATGGTTTTTTGACAAGCCAAACTCGAATAACCAAATATTCGACTTGACTCGTATCCCCCTACTTTCCACCTTAGATTAAGGATTAGTTGAATGTAATAGCTATTTAGCAAGTTGTGAAACCAATGATAACTCTCCATGTTAGTAATAAAATGCATAGAACCCACAACTGTTTAATTTCTCATTGTGGGCCCCATATATTTAATCACCGGTGTTACCATTGGTCCACAGTTGGTAAACAACATTAAGCTCATCCAAATTCCCCATTTTATGTCCTCAAAGTCTCATAAAGTGAGAGGTTGAGGTTTTCCCTTGCCATTACATTTTCATACCATAGTAAAATTCCAATGAAAAACTTTCAACACTAGGATTTTTGGCTCTAACAACCCCTAAACTTTGCAAAAAGGCCAACTTCGACCATAAATATTAAAAAAAGGTCATTTCAATTCCAATCTTTGGTGAAAAGGCTATTTGCATGCAAAAATAGATGACATTTGAAACGACGTTGACGATTACATTTGAGAGCAATTAAAATATTGCAAAATGCTAACATTGTATGCCCAGTCAACATTTGCGTTTATGGGAGGGTCTCACAAAGAAATCCCACCCATTAGACCATTGTACACGTCATTTAATCCAAAAAAAAACCCAAAATCAAATTGAACGAGAACGAAAAGAGTTGGATTCCAGACATCTTCATATCTGACCATTGTTCAAACATTTACAGATCCCTTTTGTGGCTACATGCACTCAACAAGACAGAGAGAACATAACAGTCACCTCCATCGAAGCTCACAAGGATTCTGATCGTCTTCCTTATCTTCAGCCATTGTTCACAAGGTTTCACAAAGAGTTTTTGGTTGGCTGTGTTCACCAAGATAGAGGCAAACACACCAATCACCTCCATCGAGAAAAAAAAGGAGAAAAACACACTAGTCACCAGTTCACAAGCTTTTCACATGTACTGTAATTGGCACTTTACCTTTGTTCAATGCATGAAGAAAGTATTTAGCTTATAAGCTTTTCCTTTTTCTTATTGAGTTTTCAATTGCTCATAGTTAAAACCATTTTTACTAACTATTTTGTTTATCCTTCTTCTTATGAAATACCGAGCAACATGATTGTGGATGTGCCTAGAGAATTGTGATTAATTATTGGTGAAAATTTTGAGAACAGTGCCAATGGATTGTTGTATGTTGGGGATAGAGTCAAGCTTAAAGAGAAGAAAGATGTAGACAAAATCTCATACTCAACATTGTTAATTATGGTAGAAGAGTGTGGATATTTAAAGGTCAGTAGAATATACTACAAGGTACCTAATTTGGGTTTAAGTGATGGTTTAGAGGAAGTTGATGATTCAACCACATTTGGATTATTGAGGTGCATTGCCAAAGAAGTTGGCTAGGGGGAACCATCAATAAATTGGCTCCAGGTCGATTTAAAGGAATAGGTATAGAAGGAACAATGTAATTTTGCATATTTTGTCGGGTGATTTGGAAAAGGTGTTCAGTTGTATCATATAGGTTGAAACCATTCAAAAAGGGGAAGTTAGTCAAGGTGTGGTTCCTGATGTTTGATGAACCGGAGAGGAAGACTCTATTGGAAGTAGGGGCGAGAACTATTCGGTTAAAATTGAAAATTTTGGTTTTGATTTTTTTTTTTTTTTGGTTAAATCGGTTTGGTGAATTCAGTTTTCAGTTTTTGATTTTTTAGAATTTGAACTTCGGTTAACCAAATTAATTAAATTTTCTATTATTATATATTTATATATTAATATATAATAAAATAAAATTTGATTTCGTAATATATATATATTATTAAAATTCAGTTTGTACTAAAATAACTAAAAACCGAATAAAAAATTTTGGGTTCGATTATTTCAATTTTTCTATAATTTAGTTTTGGTTTGATTTTTATTTTTTATTTAAATTTTTAAAATTTTAACCGAATAAACCTAATGCACACCCCTAATTGGAAGGACTGAAGAGAAAGAACCCCTTAGAGGGACTGAGGTGGAAGAACATGTTGATGAGCTAGCTGAAAGTGATAAGGAGTCAACTGATGAGAAAATCTGCATATATGAAGAAGATGGTGTAGGTTTATAGTTAACAGACATTGAAGATGAAGAACTTTAAACAGTAAGGAAAAGATAAAGGAGTTATGTAAGAAGAAAGGGTCGATGAATGTGGATACGAGGTAAAACTAAAAGTTATTCGGTAGAGATAGATAGGGTCTAATAGTAAATTAGCTAAGGTTGAGGAAGGAGGAAACTAGCAACTAGGATTGAATGAGGGTGAGGAAGGAGGAAACCAGTAGTCGGGATTTCATGAATTTGGTTTTGATGACGATGGAAGATACTACAAATTTAGTGATGGGTCAGACAATGAAACTTAATTAGGATGCAAATAATCTAATAATGCTAATAACATGTGTAGTAATGGAAAATGAAAACACCGAAAGTTGGAAATGGTTCCTTGGTTACCTCATAAATGATATTGGCAAAACGAAGACATCTACTGTTGGTTACACCATCATTTCTGATCAACAAAAGATATGCAATTAACATATTTGTCTTATATTTATACACATTAGATGAATATTGAAATTCTAATGAGGTTTTATTACTATGAATTTTAAGGGAATGGTCAAGGAAATTGTAGAGCTAATGCCTCACATTGAGTGTAGGAAGTGTCTGAGGCATGTCTTTGCAAACAAAAGGAGAAAGGACAAGGACAAAGAATTACAAAGGCAATTGTGGATGTGTGCTAAACCTACAATCATTGTTGACTTCCAAATTGAGTTAGAGAAGCTTGAGACATTGAAGCCCAGTTCCAAGGAAGATGTGACGAAAGTAAATCTAGTCTAGTGGTCAAAAGCATACTTTTAGATATTTTGTTTCCAAATTCAAGGTGAGTTTGGGCCGAAGATATGGAAGAACATCAAGGAGTACAAAGAGAAGTATGCCCAAACTAGACTGACATGGAATATGCAGTCAAAGTATAAAGTGCAACTGGTGTAGAAAAATATGTTGTGGGCATTAGTAACTAAACTGGCATCTATAGGAGGTAGGGCTTAACTCGGATCGATGATTATGTTGCCCACTTATACAAGATGGATACTTTCATGAATACCTACCAGTGTGCAATACAACCAACAACAGGGATGAAGTTTTAGCCCAGTTGAAGCACTTGGCTATAAATGGTACGGCCCCACACATCAAAGTGCACTATATGAAAATGAGGAATTAATCTATTATTAATCAATGAATAAGAGTATCTACAATGCTTGGCAAATTCACATGACTCATAATGAAGACTAGACAACGGTATTCTTTTAAACATTCTAAAAACAAATGAATCAAAATAGAAAAAAGAAAGATGACCAAAACGTAACTAACATAACATGGCTTGATTAACAGACTCTAAATCCACTTCATGAGGTGGTACAAGACCCTTGTTGGGTGTATCCAACAAGTATATTCTGTTCACCTCATAGACCCACTCTCAATCGTTCTTTGAGACTTCAGCTCTTAAAAACACAATGGGTACGAAAGAAGGTTATTCTACAATTCATAGATTTTGTTAAACTACTAACAGACAAAATATTGGTGTTTAGGAACATGAAGAATAGGCAATAAAATAAGGAACTCTAAGGCTCTGATGTTCCCCATTGCTTGAATTAGGGGCAAAGGACTCATCAACAAGGGAT